TCCTCCAGACCATACGTGCACAGCACAAGGCTGTTGACACCAGCACCTAATTTATCAGTGTGTGAAGTTCTCTCCTCTGTCTTGAATTGACGTAGAAGGTATTTTGCCTTTGATGTGATATGCAAGGTTTGAAATGCCAAGATATTATTTTTATACTTTTTTTTGAGGGGAAAAATAGCTGGTTATTTTTATGGCCAGTCATATTGCGCAGCAGAAAGACAAGAGAAGCATAAGCCATGCTCATGCTTTAGGATCCCACCAAAGGTCAGGAAGTATTTAATCTGTCCAGCAGCAGAGCTCATTTGCCTTATAATGTATTTCCCTCCTTGCTCAGAAGCAACATTTGATTTTTCTAGTGCTGAAGGCAAGCTGCCAGACTGACACACCAGCAATGGGATCTGGGAGGGCAGCTTCCTTGATAGGCCAGATAGGCTCCAGAAATGCTGAGCCACCTTCTGCCCGGGTGGAATGGGCTTCACATGGTAAAGGACAAGCAGCCCGGAAAGAAGATAAGTTGGAAGATGTGACATGCAAAAAGGGAAGCCTTTTCCAAGTATGTGATTTGCAGACCGGTTTCTCCCACCCCACCTCTAGAAGCCATCTCAGTTTGAGTTGTGTACCGTCTCAAAGGGATGTGAAACTTCAGCTTGTCAAGAAATCTACCCCATTGCCTGTTCAGGGAAATCTCTTCATTCCTCGCATCCTCACCTCTGCTTCCCATCTGAGAAAGCAAGGGCTCGGCCTCAGCTGATGCCAGGCATGTCACAGAGCTAGCACACATGGGAAGGGGCTGACCCATCCCAGCAGTAACACAAGCCCTTGCTTTAGCTTCTGGTCCTCTGCATTATGCCTTGATGTCCATGTACCACACCAGGACAGTCAGCGTGCCGCATTCCCCACTTCCTCCTTCATCTCATCTGCTCGCCATGCAGCCATACTCAGTGAATCCTTCTCACCCGTGCTCTTCAAAATGCTCCTGAGACTGCTAGACAGGCAGACAGTCTGCTTCTAGGTGCTGTATTGTTACTGCATCCAAAGTTAATGAACTCAGAGGTTATGGGACTGTGTCAGCTGAGCCAAGGAGCTGTTCAATGGCAGCAGGATCAGGCCTTAAACCCGTTCTGTCCTGTCAGTTAAAATTAATGTCTAAATCTCAGGTGCAGAGTCTGTGGCTGGCAAGAAAGACAGGAGCACAGCTTGGGGATCTGAGAGTTTGCCAGAAGACAGGTATCTCGCCTGTGGAGCTGGGGTCAGAATATCTCTAAGGAAGAACGTATCTGGGCAATTCTTTTTGTCGGTCTCAGAATAAATTCTTCACAGATGAGTTCCTTCCTTCTCTAGCTGGCAAAACATTCCTTGGCATGCAATACTCCGTGCTTTGCAGTCCGGGGATGCAGAGCACACTGAGAGCTGTGGATTAGCATTAAGGATTGCAGTGATTTATTTTTTTTCTTCCATTAAGCTACTGAGCAGATTCAGAGTGGATGTCTCTCTTACGGGACAGTGTGGGATTGTGGTGCATCTGCTACAGCAGCGCCAAGAGACCAGGAGGCCGGGACTCCCCGCTGCACTACAGAGCTGCTTCCCTGAGTGTAGCCTCCTATTTGCAGCTCCAGTTCTTCCATCCCAGTCCCTTCACAGCCTCTCATCCCTCCCACTCCAGGTACAGAGCAGACCAAGCAGATTGTCTTTGCTCCCAGCACAGAGCCAGCCTTTGTCACCGTCCCCCAGAACAGCTTTGGGGAGCCCTTCGTACTCAACCCCAACACCTGGTCTCTGGTTGTTGAAGCAGAGGGTGTGCTGCTGGTAAGGACCAGCCCCTGTGCTCCATCCACCACAGGGGGCTTCAGCAGCTCCCTGGGGGCAAGTGTCCCAAACATAACCAACTCTCCCATCTCTCCTTCTAGGACTATCTGGTTTTGCTACCCAGCTCATACTATGAAGCTCCAATACTGCAGCTAAAGGTCACGGAGCCATGTACCTACCAGCCAGCCCCAGAACAAGCCACCCAGAAGTAAGGATCTCCACGTCTTTGTGTTGTGTGGGACCTACTCAGCTCCTCTTGGCCTGGGGTTAAGAAATATATACAGTCCACACTCTGTGAGGGTCTGGATGCAATAAAACTGCTTAGTGGAGCACTTTGCCATGGTTGATAAAGCCCGCTGAACCTGTGCTGTCCCAGAGAGCCAATGCATAGATCTCCTCATCCATGGCACAGTCAGTCTGTGTGTCCTCATGGACCCTGGAGGGCCAACTCACCCAGTAAGACCATAGCCCTCTCCTCTGCTAGGCTGGGTTCCCAGTGCCGGGTTGCATGTTAGTCAGCAGCCCTGGAAAATGGCTACAATGAGTTAGGTCTTGCTGGACTATTTAAAATGAATGAGCAGAGTCTGTTAGTGCTTAGAGCATCTCAGTGCATCTGCTTGCTCTGCTCAGGACCTCTCTGTCCATCTTGGCAGGAAGGCTGGTTGTGTTCTGGACATCAGTTGTCCCCTCCACTATAGCAATGATCCCCAAGATAAAGCACATTGCAAGGGGAGTAGTTGTTTGTTGTTACTGCCGTCATGGATCCTATAATAAATAAAATAAAATAAATAATAATAATAAATAATAAAACCAGAGATGTTCCTTTGGGCAGTGGAGCCTTCATGTTGGACCAAAGCCTTTTGCAAATCTTGCTGGGATCAGGCTGCATGGGTGCTCTTGACTCTTACAATCACGATGTAACAACCGTACTTTGCAATTTTTTTCTTAATGTTTTTAGCTGCCTCTTGTATAAGTACCTGTCTGTGGACGGCTTCCCTGCTGCGTCAGGGGTGGATGCGGTGTGCAGGCTGGACAACCGGTTACCCAGAGTGTGTCCCACAGAGCAGCTCAGCCCCTCCCATCCCCGGATGGCGACATGCAGCGGCACCGATGTGAGTGGCGCTTCTGTTTCATCCCTTGTGTGGGCACTGCAGCACTCATCCCTCTGCTCCTATCTGGTGCTTTACATACCCCTGGGCAGATTAGCAGAAGGGCTTTGCACCCATGTACACCCCCCTGTTGCCCCATCAGTCTTGCAGCTGTGTGCTTGCATGCCCTGTTGCTCAAGGCACCCAAAAGCAGTGTTTCACGTGCAAAGGGCTTGCAAGGACACGCGTGGTATATGGTAAGAGTTGGCCCGTTGTCCCCTCAGCTGCAGAGGAGGCTGGTTTGTAGCACAGGCATCCTGAACACATTCACTATGGGTGGTGGAACAGGAGACCCTCACTCAGTCATCCCTCTGTCCTCCAGGTGGAAGTCCAGCTCTCCCTGCCTATTGCCCAGCCTGGGAAATACGTGCTGGTGGTGGAGTACGTCAACACCAATGCTTTGCAGGTGGTGGGCATTGCTGTGAGCTCACCGCACTTAACCATGCAGCAGGCTACATTCATCTTCTACCCGTGTGTCTACAGGTATGGTCAGCTCTGAGAAAGAGAAAGGGTTTGGTCCTTCTCCAACAGAGCAAGGACAGGCCACCCCAGCTGAGCTTTTTCTGCTTTATCACATGAACAAAGCAATGCCTCAGCGTTGTACATCTAAGCTGTGTATGTCCAAACTCATTCTAGCTGGACATGGATTTTAGTGACTGTCTATCCCTGGGAAATACATGGCATCCCTGGCACACTACCTGTGCCAACGTAGTCCTCTAATGCCTCTCCCAGGAGATGATCTGTTGCTCCCGTTTACAGCTGGGTACATTGGTAGGGGCCCTGATTTAGGGAATGGCCTATGGGCAGGTTTATTGAAGCTGTTGGTGTGGGTGAAACCCTCTGCCTTACTGTAAAAGTGTCTGACTTCAGACTGCAACGTTTGCAGTAGGAAACAAATGTCTGGGGTGTCCTTGGGAAACCTCACTCTTATGACTTGCCAGAAAAAGCATCAAAAGATTTACAGGCACTTTGTATAAATACCTTCAGGACCCATAGCTGGCAAGACAAGAAATGGGTCATGACCCAGCTCAAGGCTGGCTTCAAAATCTGTGTTTCTCTTACAGTTTCCTTTGTCGAGGGATTGCTGTAGATTCCCAGAGCCGCATGGCAACATTTGAACTTACCTCGGAGGCTACCATTCGGTTCACCTCTGATCTGGCTGACTTCTTCCTGGTAAGGCTCCCTGCGAGGGCAGCTCTGTTTGCAGGTTGCAAGGAGGAGAGGCAGGAGCGGTACCTAACCTGTAGAAGGGTTTTCTAGTCCTGTTTGGACTGGATACTAGATCTTAGTCTATGTCATGAGCAGTCCAAGGTGGAGAACATGGTCAGTGGTGTGTTCTGAAGTAGATCATGGGACTGGGATTTTGGAGATGGGGAGAAGAAGCTGCTCTTTGCAGAGGGAGCTCTGCAGCAGTGTAGCAGTGCTTCTTTCTATTTTACCTTGAAGGCATTCAAAGTTGCTTAGCCAAGGATAGAACAATCCCATAAATATGTGGAGCTTTTAAACACCTTAGGGCTTATGCCAAGGAAGAAGGGGCAGTAGGGAGAGGCGTGACCTGCCATGCATTAGCTGACGTGTCTGATGAGGAGGTGCTTAGTGTGGTCAGCCTTGATCACTGGTGGGCACAAAAACTGCTGTAGGCTCCCAGTGGCAGAGGCTGTCATGTAACCAGCCAACTCTCTCTTTCATGTGCGGCAGCACAAAGTGTACCTCATACCTGCTGCACAGTTCACCATGGAGTTCATTGAGCCAAAGGTGCATTGCATCAGTGTCCACGGCACGTTTTCATCCAACAGGTAAGGGTCTCGGGTCCCTCAGGGTTTTAGCATGAATGTGGCTGTTTCCAAAAGCAATTGCTTACCCCACTTCCCTCAAGTTTGGAGCCTTTTCAGTTCTTGACCCAGGAAAAAAGAAATCTGTGGCTGAGGCGAAGCGCCTTGCCCGTGTCCACTGAGCAGGCAGCAATGAAGTAAGGACTGGAAGTCAGGCTGCTGGTCCTTTACCTGAACACCACACTGCCTCCTGTGGCAGACACTCAAGTGTCATCCTGAATAGCCTTTCCTGTGCTTGCTCACATCAGCAAGAGAAACTCACTGTACCTGAATTCTTGACACTGCTTTGAATCAATATTTGCACAGAAATTAGCTTGTGCAAGGCCTCAGGGGTCCTGGTAGAAAGCTCTCCCTTGGCAGGCATGCTTCATAATCTGCCAGATGTTACAGGGCCTGCTTCCGCTGCCACGACCCCCATAGTCTCTCTCTTTCCTTGTCGGAGATCTTTACATCCCGTTTTCTCCTTGTCTTGCAGCAGCTCCTGTGTTCCCTCAAGGTTCCTGAAACTTTCTCAGTTGATCATTTTGGAGGGGGGCCAGGCTCTGCCCATCGCTCCTGATGTCCCCCTGGCTCAGGCGGTCCACATGGCTCCAGCCGGGGTCCCAGTGGAACCTGCACCTCGGCCTCCCACAGCAGTGGACCCCACCACAGAGCTCATCCTCCTGCAACCACCACAGGTAGTGGCACGGGTATGGGTTGGGCTGGTTTGCTGGTGCTGTGACACCAGACACCTGGGGCACAGAGAAGTCTTCCTTCTCCATTCAGTAGCTTTAGCAATTAGCAATTTAGCAATTAGCATTTTCAGAATTTAATCAGGACTTTAAACTTGTCACTGAACCTGTAATTCCTGTGGACTGTCTTGTCTTAGCTCCATCCCACCCTGCTTGGTTCTCTGGGCTCCCAGGAAAAGCTTTGCAGGTAGCACCATTAGAGGGGGGGGGAGTGTGGAGACGAGGGGGATTGGTTTACCAAAAGTCTCAAGACCTGACAGCTGTGCAATAAGAGCACAAATTTGTGCAACAATAAAAAAATATCCCAGCTGTGAGTGCAGCCGTAAGATGTGGGGTTTTGTCTCTTTGTTCTCCTGTTTTGGGCCAGGCTGCTGTTGTGTTTAACAGCCGGATCCAGACCCTGGGACGCTATGCTTTCATCCTACACTACTACCAGCCCAACCATCCCACCTTCCCTGTGGAAGTGTTAATCAATGGTGGGCGTATCTGGCAAGGTGAGAAGAGCGGGGGACCTGGGGGAAGCTGCTGGTAGGCAGAAGCCCTGGAAAGTTTTTCCTGCCAGAGGGTAACTGCGGGTTCCCTGAGGAGTGCAAAGATGAAGCGAGACTGACTCATCTCTTCCAAACTGGGAGGGTGTGATGGGGGCTGCAAGGGAAATGTGGGACCAATACGTTTGTTGTCTTTTCAGGTCAGACCAATGCTACTTTCTGCCCACATGGCTACGGGTGCCGGAGCCTGGTAGTTTCCGAGGACCAAATTATCCTGGATGTTACTGATAATGATCTGACTGTGGTTGTTCGAGTGCCAGAGGGCAAGCAGCTGTGGCTGGTGAGCCTCTCTCCAGGAAGCTCCCAGGGCAAGCTGGACCAGGCTCCAGCAGGGCCGGAGTTTGTCCTTGGGAATTTTTGTCACTGTGGACTACAGGAATGTTTCCCACCATCACTCAGGTTCTGAGCTACCCTAGAAAGTTGCCATCTGCAACCTTAGTGGTGTAGAATTGAGGGCAGAATTCTCAGAGACAGGATCTGTATATGACAGTTATTTTTCACCATGTGGTTTTGATACCAAAACAAGGCAGGAGTTGAAGCTGTTGCTTTGCACACATAGCTTGTGATAATCCAGAATAAGCCTTATTTCTGCCCCAGCAATATTTTGCACCTGCATAGCATTGTTTGTCCAGGCAGGTCTCGTCATGGGAGCAGGTAGCCCTTGTTATCCTCAGGTAACAGGACTAGAAGATTGACCAAAATTTGGATAAATGGCTGAAAGACAGAATTGGAACCCAAGTGCCTTCATGTCTAGGAGTTTGAGATGACAGTGACTGCCTGCCTCTGTGCTGAAGCACAGCCAGTGCTGCCCTTTTGGGGTATCCTGCCTTTTTTTACTCCAGTGAACTCCAGAAGTGCCAATTCCCACATGGAGCATTAGAGTAGATGGACCCTGATGGGCAGACCCTAATAGAGAGGTAGACGCTGGTCTTTCAAGTACTTGGGCACTTTGTGTGTTATGTTCTGTCCCAGCAAGGGATGAGCTGATGAGAAGTTGGTGCATTTGGACTTCTAAGTGAGCTCATTTTGGACTGCATCTGTCTGGCTCAGCTAAGCAGCCTGGCTCACCCATCTTGTCCTTGCTTTGCAGGATTACATCCTTGTAGTGCCTGAAGACAGCTACAGCTCTCAGTACCTGCAGGAGGAACCCCTGGACAAGTCCTACGATTTCATCAGCAGCTGTGGCATCAACAGCTTCTACATCAAGTGAGACCCTTGGCTGTGGGTGGCTGCTCTGCTGTCCATGGTCTGCACACTCCTCAGGGAGCAAAAACCCCTTCCCTTCACGGGCCCTGTGTGTGGCAGGGGAGGGGTCTGGTTAAGGCTTTCCTTATCTAATGACCAAACCTGTGAGTATTTGGGGGATCTCAGTGTCACAGGGCTGTCCCTCCCACTAATTCACTACCCGTTGCTGCAGGAGATCCTGCTGGATTTTGGAGTGGTGGGGAGGCTGTGGGGGTGTGCAGCACAGTGATTCCTCCTGCCTTCCCCTGCAGCCCCAGCACATCATCGAGGTTCTGCCGCGACTCTGCCATCTCGCTCTCCCTCTTCTACAACAATGGGGCACAGCCCTGCCGGTGCCACGAGGCAGGGGCACGGGGCAGCCAGTGCGAGCCCTTCGGCGGGCAGTGTCCCTGCAAGTCCAACGTCATCGGGCGAGAGTGCTCCCGTTGTGCCACCGGCTACTGGGGCTTCCCCAACTGCAGGCGTGAGTTGTCCCATCTCCTGCTCTGCTTTCCCAGCACTTGCTGTTTTGCCTCTTACAGGGCTGAGGCTGATTTGGGAAATGGCTGCATTTTCCAGCCCTGTAATGGCTCCACTTGCATGAAAACAGCCCAGCTGCCCGCAGAGCAGTTGAGCTCTGCATCCATTGCCTCATGCTCTCCTTGGGCTGCCTGGGTCTTGCTCCCCCAAACACAGCCCCTTTTCTGCCCCTTCCAGCCTGCGACTGCGGGACACGTCTCTGCGATGAAGTGACAGGGCAGTGCATCTGCCCTCCACACACCCTGAAGCCGGAGTGCGTCGTCTGCGAGCCCCAGACCTTCGGCTGCCACCCCCTCATCGGCTGTGAGGACTGCAATTGCTCTCGGCCCGGCGTGCAGGAGCTGACAGAGCCGGGCTGCGACGTGGACAGTGGGCAGTGCAGGTGAGGGAGGTCCCGGCACAGGGCACGTCTGGCAGCATCCCTGGTCCCTGCTGGAGTGATGGGACTCGTCGGCCGGTTGCAGGGAGGAAACGTGCAGGACAGGGAAGTCCTCATCAGCACTGTGTCCCTGCCAGTGCGGGTGAAGCTCTGAAAGCCCGGCTGCTCCCTGCACAGCAGCACGAGGCGGAGGTTTCTAATGCTGCGGCTCTTGCGTCCCATCCAGGTGCAAGCCCAATATCATAGGGCGACAGTGTGACCTCTGTGCCCCCGGCTTCTACCACTACCCCAACTGCTGGCGGTGTGACTGCCACCAGGCTGGCACCGAAGCAAGCGTGTGTGACCCAGTCACGGGGCAGTGTCACTGCAAGGTCAGTCCTTTGATGCCTTCACGTGGTGTGTTTCTGCTCGGCTCAACTCTCCTGCTCTGGCAATACAGCTGGTTCAGCCTGGGGAGGCTGTGGGTGTCTGGCGTGGGGCAGGAGGGAGCAGAGCTTGAGAAGGAGAATGCCTGTGTGCTGAGCTGCAGCCAGCCCACCCCATGTGGTTGTGGGTTCAGAGCACCCTGAAAGACTCCTTCTCCCCATCTTTCCTGGCCATGAAGGCCTACTTCGGGCTGTCACTGCGGAGACAGGCAGTCTGAGTCCAGCCCTGTGTCAGAGCCCGTTGCAGGTAAAGCCCTGTTGACTCCTCCTGCTTCTGTGTGACAGCAGAGTAACCTAAACTGCTGCTGAGCTACCTGCTCCAGCCCCTTTGCAGGGCTCACAAGTGCTTTCTCCAGGTGAATTTAATGTTTCATGGTGGCGTGCAAGCAAACATGTTCGGGGACTGTTTAATTGTCTTTCAGCATCACATGATTGTGCTTTGATCACTCATATGGCTGTCTCTGTCCTCCACTAAGGTCTAGTGAGGAGCTGCTGACGCTGTTGAGCTTTGCTTGTCTTCCAGGAGAATGTGGAGGGCCTGAGGTGTGACCAGTGCCGCCTGGGGACATTTTCTTTGGATGCCAGCAACCCCAAGGGCTGCACCAAGTGTTTCTGTTTTGGTGCGACCGATCGCTGCCGCAGTGCTGAGAAGCACCGAGCTGAGGTGAGAGGGCCCGGGGGCCACCAGAGCCTGCAGTTCAGTTGTGTTCCCGTCTGCCTGGCTCCCTGCTGCCCTAGGGTCTCTGTCCTGCATTAATCCTACCCCTCTGGAAGATACACTGTGAGGAGGGTTATCTTTGTCTCCCTGTGCCCATCTCCCGCTTTCAGCCCCTTTTCCTAGTCTCTGGGGTCTCATAGGGTGGAAAATCATGGCATGGGGGGACTGTGCCAGGCAGGAGGCAGGGGTGGTGCTCAGCTTTCTAGTGGCTTTATCAGGATGCATGTGAGATTGTGAGCCTGTTATCATCATTTCTGCTGCTCTGGGACTTGCTCTTCTGAAGCATCAGCACCCAAATACATTCTGTAGCTCCACCAGAAGATCTACGGTTGCTCTTCCCCCACAGTTCATCGACATGAACGGGTGGCTCTTGCTGAGCAGTGACCGCCAGGAGGTGCCGACGACTCTGAGCCTGCAGGAGCAGCTCCTCCGTGCTGATCTCAGGAACCTCCCAGATGCCTACCAGGAGCTCTACTGGGTTGCACCCAGCTCCTACCTCGGGGACCGGGTAAGAGCCAGTGGCAGCTGGACCAGCAGTCATGCACATCCCTGACCCCACCAACACGTGTGCCAGCAGCATGCCCGCTGACATGCAGGCATTGCGCACCCTCTGGTGGAACATGGACAGCTCTGACCCAGCTCAGTGGTGTGGACTTGCAGCAACACATGCAATTCGGCTCTCCCTTAGGTTTCCTCCTACGGTGGGCACCTGCGCTACGAGCTTCACTCTGACCCACGGAGGGGTGACGTGTTCATTCCCATGGAGTCCCGCCCAGATGTGATCCTGAAGGTGCAACCCGAGAAATTCCTTGGTGCCCCCTGCTAATGCATGAGCAGGATGAGGTGGTGACTGACACCTTCCTTGCTTTTCCCAGGGAAATCAGATGAGCATCATGTTTCTGGAAGGCACCTACCCTTCCCCAGGGGAGGTATATGAAGGCCAGCTGCAGCTGGTGGAGGTGAGTTTGCACACGCAAGTGTGTACCAAGTTAAATGCTCAGATGCTACTGAAGGGACAAGACTAGCATGTAGACAGAAGGGACAATTGCTTTGAGCTCAGTATTTTAGGTGCTGCCTATTGCAGCAGAACTGTCTGTGAAGATCCAGGGGCTTTTTTAGCTGTGCAAAGGGGAGACATCTCAGCAGCAGGGAAGTGAAAGCTGGGCTGTGGATGTTCAGGTGCCTGTGCTTCCTGCCAGTAATGTCAGGTCTTCTCCCACTAGGGTAAGTTCAGGCACACAGAGACACACAACCCTGTGTCTAGAGAGGAGCTCATGATGGTGCTGGCAAACCTGGAACAGCTGCAGATCCGGGCGCTCTTCTCCCAGCTCTCTTCCTCCGTGTCCCTGCGCCGCGTGGTCCTGGAGATGGCAACAGATACAGCTACGGGCATCCGTGCCAGCAACGTGGAGCTGTGCTTTTGCCCAGCTAACTACCAGGGAGACTCCTGCCAGGTAAGGGTGAAAGCAGACGTGCTGCTCCAGGCAGGGGGGAGTCAAACAGTCACATTTTGGGTCTCAGCCACCCCTTGTGCTTGGTGTGGGTGGCAGCTGTGGCGTTTGGACACTTGTGCAAAGCAGTGGTGCCAGAGTACCAGCTTCCAAGCCAACCCCTGAGGGCTTCAGTTGAAATTACAGCTCAGGTTGTGCCGGAGAAAGGAACAACATCTCCCGGGCTCCCCCACACCAGCCCGCTCCTGGCTCCCCTCCCACCACAGCACAGCGCACCTGGGAGAGGTGCGTTAGCTGTGTCTGCTGTCTTGGAAGAGGCATGATGGAGAAATCATTCAGGTGGTGCAGACCAAAATTAAGTGCATGCAGTACCTTGGAATAGGTCCTTCTCTCTGACAAGGAGCAGGAAGGAGCTGCACTGAAAAATCTTTGTTGTTGCTTTTAATCTCTTCTCCATCAGTATGACCCTGTGGGAATTCTGTCATGGAAACTAAATTGGTCTCTTTGCTTTGCCTGAATGTATTGGGCTGTTTTTCAGATCTCCGTCTTTTTCTCTGTCCTCAGGAATGTGCTCCAGGTTACTACAGGGACACCAAGGGGCTCTTTCTGGGAAAATGCATCCCATGTCATTGCAACGGCCACTCAGATCAGTGCCTGCCGGGCTCTGGGATATGCCTTGTAAGTAAACAGTGAAACAGCGTGATATTTTGGAGTTATAAGGTCTGTAGCATGTGATTAAAAAGCTCTTCACATACTAACTGAGCTGGCAGGACTGTGCCTGAATTGGAGCATTAGCTGCATGTGCCATTTCAGGAGTGGTCCCACTCAGGGTCAGCTTAGGGTGAAAGACAGTTCTGGGAAAGAGGAAGGACTGAAGCATCCAGATATCTGGTGGGGAATTCTTTGTGCAACCCATCATTTCTTGCTGTCAGTGCTGAGCCTGCAGCCTGCCTTTTCCTTGCAGAACTGCCAGCACAACACAGAGGGAGACCACTGTGAGCGATGCAAGGATGGCTACGTGGGCAGCCACTCTGCCGAAGAACGCCTACAGTGTGTTGGATGTCCGTGCCCTCTTTCAGTTGCCTCCAACAAGTAAGCACCCTTGGGTGGGATTGTCTATTTGGCTTCACTGTTTAACCACTGGGAACCACGCTGTGCCACATCAGGGCATTGGCTTGGCACTGGCAGGTGTCCCAATGCCAGCCTTGTCCATGGCCTCTTACCCAAGGCTCCAGCAGCCCACACCGAGTGATCAGCTCCCCTGGCAGGATGTCAGAGGTAACTGCATCTTCCTGTTCACCCCTTGTCATTTCAGTTTTGCCGTCGGTTGTGTCCACAAGGGCTCCAACACGCAGTGTCTCTGCAAGCCTGGCTATGCTGGACCCAACTGTGAGCGGTAAGGATGATGGCACCCATGTTTCTGAGGCCGTGCACACCCAATTCCCGTGCAGCCACTGCTGTGGCAGAAGTGAAGTTGTCCCAGTAGAGACTGCAAAGGAAATGGTTGGCTCTGCCTTGTGTGCTTTGCTCTGGCAGGATTTCTTTCACTCCTTTTCAGACTGCAAACGCCCTTTTGCTGTCTCCACTGCTGATATATTGTGTTACTGTGGGTGTATGTCTTGGTTGTGCTTTGCCTTGACTTGCAATCTGTATAAAGGCACCTTTCAGGGGTACCGTGAGGCAAAACACAAAGTGCTTTGAGATCCCTGAGGGTTGCAGCAGTTAAAACTGTTGGATGCTTGCACTGTTATAATTGCACAAGACTGAAGCATGGTGCCAGCATGAGCTGTGGGGATCCCCCTCAATGCCTGGCTGTGTTTTAACTTGCTGTATTTCTCCAGGTGTGCCCCAGGATACTACGGCAATCCCTTGGTGATTGGCAGCTCGTGCCAGCCCTGCGACTGCAGTGGGAACACAGATCCCAACATGTTGTTCAGCAGCTGTGACTCCCTGACAGGCGCCTGCACGGGGTGCATGCACCACACGGCCGGTGCGCGGTGCGAGGTCTGCACCCCTGGCTACTACGGGGATGCAGTGGCAGCCAAGAACTGCACACGTGAGTGGGGCAGGCAGCAAGCACTGGGGGGGAGGAAGATGGACAGACCGACCGTGGACATGTTTAGCACCTTAGCCAGGCTGTGCATTGCCCCGATGAGTCACGCGCTTGGTTGCACACATTGCAGGCATCCTCCAAAGGCAATAATAAGAAAAAACACAACTCCAAAAACCTGCCCTCCAGCATCACAACTCCATAACCTCCAATCCACCCCTCGAATGCGAGCTGCCAAACCACACCCAGGCTGGAACGGTCTTTCCCCGAGCAGCTACTGCAGCAGCAGTGCTGGCACTCCCTCGGGAGTGTGGGTTTGCACAGCCCACTCCCAGCACTGCTCATCTCCCTTTGAGGAACAGCAGCCAAATTGCAGCTCACAGAAGGGAATCTGCCCTGGGCAGGTGTCATGGGAATAAGTTGTCGGCAGGAGCAAATCCAAGAGGAGGGAGGCTCTGTCTTTGCTCTGACTGTTACAGATAAGGGAGAAATAGGATTCCCTGTCAGGAATAAGGTTTGTGAGTGGGTGAGCAGCCTCCTTGGCATATAACTGGCTGTATTTTTCCCTGGCAGCGTGCAACTGTTCGCCTTGTGGGACAGAGTCGTGCCATCCACAAACCGGCCAGTGCTTCTGCAAGACTGGAGTGACAGGCCAGCACTGCGACCGCTGTGAGGTGAGGGCCGTCTGCATACTGGGATGGTGCCTGTCCTTGGCACAGGGACGAGGGGCAGCCCCGGTGTGTCGTCCCCAGGCCTGTGAGCGGAGCAGTGCTGGAAGCTGCGCTGGCAGCCAGGTGGTTAAGACTGGATTTGCATGAGCTGCCTAGGCATGGTGAAAGCCTATTAAAGATCTGGCAGCCAGCGATGGAGGCAGTGTTCAGCTGCAGCCTGGGCAGTAATGTGGTACCCTTTGGGAAACTGCAATAAACCCCATTTCCCTGCATGCATCCAGTGTGGGCGTTGCAGGGCAAGGGCAGGTTTGCAGGGCAGTGCTGCGGTGTGTCTGGGCTCTTATTGCAGCTCCACACCTTTGCCATGTTGATAGGAGTTTTGTGGTGGCCAAAACACTCCTAGAAAGCAAGACTGGTGTCCCACATCGCCTCGGCCTGCTCCAGGAGGGAGGCACGCATGCCCTCTTGCTGAACAGGGCACCCACTGTTCTGCTTTTCCCTAGGATGGGTACTACGGCTTCGAGGGATGCTTCAGCTGCCGGAGGTGTGACTGCGATGTCGGTGCCGTGGGGAGCAGTTGCCATGCACAGACTGGCCAGTGCAGCTGCCTGCCTGGCGTCAGCGGCTCACGCTGCCAGCAGTGCGCCCCGGGCTACTGGGGCTTCAGCGAGAGCGGCTGTACAAGTGAGTCCTGCTTCCCGGGTGTTGGGTCCCACACGTGGAGGAGTGGGACAAAGCATTGGTGGCACGTGTGCTAATTGAATTGTTAAAGGTGGAAAACAACTGACTGCTATCTGAGTTCCTGTGCATGTTGCTAGGTTGCACAGGGAAACCCCCAGCAGTGGCGTGTAGATAAGCAGGGATGCAATTGCACAGCTGGAATAAAACCATCCCTTCCCCTCCCTCCGGGGTGGCAACAGCACAAAATGATGCCATGGGCGTTTCCCTGTTATTAAACTCGGCAGAGTGCGAGTGCAGAGGGGGCTCCTGCGACCCGCGCACTGGGGAGTGCACCTGCTCCAACGGGCTGACAGGGAAGCAGTGCGACGTCTGCATGCACGAGTATGAGATCCCCGTGGCAAACGGTCCAGACAGCACGAGGTGTGAAGGTCTGTATCCTGCAGTCCTGGGGAAAGAGGTGAGGGAAGCCCCGGGAAGGGGCCCTGTGCTGACCGCTCCGTTCCCCTGGCAGTGTGCGACAGCTGTGTCCTGCTTCTGCTGGAGGATCTGCAGAGCATCGAGATGTCCTTCCCTTCCATTCGCAGCCAGCTGGTCAACCTCAATGCCAGCTCCATCGCCTGGGCTCGCCTCCACGGTCTCAACAGCACTATGGCAACTGTCGCTGTACGTGGAAGGTTTAACATCACTTTCTGCCCATGTTTCCTGGCCCATTGGCCTGATTTCGGCTCTTTTATTCCAGAACCAGCTGCGTGAGTACCAGAGAGCCATGAACAAGGTCAGGCAAAGGGCTGACGAGCTGGAGGATGAGAACGTGGACCTCACACAGGACCTGAACGCGCTGCAGCACAAAGTAGGGTATTTCTCCATCTTCCTTTTCCAGAGCATGAGTCCCTCCTTTTACCTAAAATGAGGGCTTTGAAGGCTGTGAGGAGCCTAGTTCAGACAGGATGGATCTCCTGCCCAGCTAGCACTAGGCCTGAGGGTCGGGGTCTTTTACTTAGATGCTCAAGCTAAATTACCTGCATTCCTCCCTTGGAGGGCTGTTAAACATCTTGTGATATTGATGGTTGTTTCTTGATTTATTACTTGCTTGTGAGGCAGCTCCAACTTTAACCAGTAAAAACAAATTCAATAAAATGTCATTTATAGAAGAAGCATACGAGGAAGGAACGTGAACATCCAGGTCCGTCCTGGATGTATCTATGCTGTGGCAGGGAGCGCCTGGGCCCTATCAGCAAATGAGTCGACCCTTTTTATTATAATAGTCCTTGGAGGCCTCAGTACAGCAACACCTTTTGCAAGATGCAATCTAAACAACACCAGTTGTGTCTTCAGAGAACTTATAAACTGAGCAAGATTTGATTTGATTTATAAACTGCCTGCTCCTAATCTAAGGGAGAGGGAGAAGTCTCTATTTGATGATGTATGTCCCCGGGCAGCTGCATGGACAAACTGCCTCTGTGTATATGTACATCTACGCTCTGAACAGTCAAACTGCAGCCTTCCGTCTCTTCTTGTGTCCTGGTCAGGACCCAGGTGGACCTGGCTCCAGGCTCTAGAGCTTTTCTTGTGTTAAGAGCGCAGGACAGTGCTGTCCTCTGTGGTCTTAGGACTGTTTCAGGATCCAGAGCCTGTTGCATTGGAGCTGCATTTATTGCTTGTGCTTCTCTGAAGGTGCTAAATAAGATCATCACTAAATGCATCATAGGTGAGCAGCACAGGGCAGGCTGTTGGAGGAGGCGTGGTTCAAGGACCTCAAACGCTGCACATTCCCAAGCCTTACATGCCTTTTGTTCTGAAAAATCACATAAAACATAATCTCATACTTCAGCTAAGCCAGTGTTTTTTGTTGTAGATGACAATGACTCACAGAGAAGCAAACCAGATTGAGCAGCACACGAGAGAGACTTACCAGAGGGGGGAGCAGCTCCTGCTAAACATCCAAAGCATTCAGAAAGGCATTGCAGGTAGGTAAAGAAGGGTCTCTGCTTTGTGGTTTTTTTCTGCTGGGAATGCCACGCTCTTGCTTTCAAACAGCGCTGAGTACTACATCACTTAGAAAGAACCATGGGGAAAACAAGGGGAAATACAAATGAAATGGAGATCCCTGCAGGATTCTGGCTGTTCAGGTAGACCAGGCTTATTGTGAGTCCCAGCTGTTTGGCTAAACAGTTTTTGGAAAAAACACCTTAAACTTGCACAAATGTTATTAAAATGCATAAAACCGGGGCAATCTGTACTACTGCTTCAGGAGAGATTTAGCAAAACAGGGAGTGGCTGGATCTGGGAGAGGAGGTAAAGCCACAAAAAGATGCTTGGAATGTAGCATGCGTTACTGAAACGGCCAAGGAGACAGAAACGTGGGGCAATACCTCTGAGCGATCTCGAGCAATTCCAGGTGCCTGAGTACTGCATGAAAGCTGGCTGCAGTTTGTTGAGGGTGATGTAGGGAGAGGAAGGATCTCAGTGGATAATGAAGGATATGGGTTGGTCAATGCTAACGGGGGATCTGGATTTCTCTGCAGACTTGATGCGGCAGATGGCCAGGCTTGGGGCAGCAAATGCCAGCACCACCTCCACTGAGGAGTTTCGGCAGAAGATGGCCGAGGTGGAAAGAATGCTGAGGGAGATGAAGGAGCGGACTCTGGGCAGCCAGGAGGAGCTGGCAAGGCACGAGCATGAGGAGGCTCAGAAATGTGAGTCTGGCTCAGTGGCATGGGACAGGGCTGCACAGATCCTGCTGCGTCTAGCCATTCCTCGAAGCTGGGCTTGGAGCCCATGTGAGTGCTACACAGATCATGGTCACGATTGGAGAGTGCTGTTAATAAAACAGGCACCCCCAACAAGTTTTGCAGTAGTTTTAGGGTCCCCTGTGACACTCCATTTATGGTTCCTTTTCCCTTAAGGTGAATTTTAGAGCAGATGGTACTAGCTGGGTGGTTCTGTTTGATGACCGAAAATGACAACCCTTAGAACCAGGAGTTCCCATTATTATGTATGCATCACACGTGGATGTGAATAAGTCACCCCATGTTTCTTCATATTCACTGTCCCAGGAAAGTGGTCCAGAGTAACAACCAGCAGCCTACCACCCTCAGCAGCTCTGCCATCCGGAGGGCATCCCTTGCAGGAGCAAGGCCTTGGATTGTGCTTCCACACAAATCCCCACTACATAACCAGGCACGCTGGCGCTGCGGGGAGCAAGCGCTTCTGATTAACAGGCAGTGGCAAAACATAGTTCAGCGGCTGAAAGCTGGAATTATAAACCAGCCCTTGCTAGAAATAAGTAATTTTTCACAGTGGGAGTAATCAAGCACTGGAACAGGCCTCCAGTGGGGTTTCTCCATCATCTGGAGCCTTTCAGGCATGGCCGGGTGTCTTTCTGAAAGAGATCCCCTCCCTCTCACCAGCACTGGGGGTTTGGAGACAGTTTTGGACGAGATCCTGTGCTATCCAGGCTGAAAGAGGGAGGGAGGGAAGATGGTCACTTCTAGCCTGCCAAGTGAGACCAGAACCAGGCTTTTCCACAGCCAAGCACAGAAAGAGCCCTTTAACACAGGGGGATGAATTAGCAACAGTTCTCACCTCCTCCATCCTCAGTGCTGCATCGGGTGAAGAGTGAACTGCACGCCCGCTGGGAGTCCAACCAGGACCTGGTGAGCAGCATCCGGGACCGGCTGGCGCAGCACAGCTCCCAGCTGATGGATCTCCGCGATGCCCTCAACGAGGCTGTGAACAAAACCAGGCAGACGGAGGACTTGAACAGCCTGAACCGCAACAACCTGGAGGAGAGTCAGGTAGACCTTCACCAGGTGGTCCCATATTGCCATGCAGTGAGGGGGGGGCCTACCCCGGCCCTGCCAGTGGCTAACCCTGCATCTGTGTGTCTAGCAAAAGAGCCGCGAACTCCAAAAGCAGCATGCACTGGTGCAGGAGACCCTGAGGATGGCCAAGGACTCCCTGGCCCAGGTCTCCGACTTCCTACAGAAGATGGAGAGTGCAAAGGAGGTGAGTGATGGAGGTACTTCGGCACGGGCAGAGTGCGAGGGGGTGGCAGCCCTCAGGAGTGATGTATGTCCTTGCAGGCGTACGAGAAGCTGGCAGCCCTGCTGGATGGGGCGAAGCTGCCCCTGACTGAGCGTGTCAAGAAGTTCTCCCCGGCCAGCAGCAAAATCCCCATCGTGGAGCAGGCAGAGGAGCATGCCCGGCTCCTGGATGAGCTTGCAAGGAACCTGTCCAGGTGAGGCACCAGGTCCTGACACTCAGTAGTCAGGCCATCTCCTACCAGAGTTGGGGATGGGAAACTGCAGCCCCATGCCATGGCAGGGGAGCAGCGGGTGCTATCTCCAAAGCTTTATCCTGGAGAACATCTTGTGACAAGGAACCCAAAGGCATTTTTGTATGTGGGGGCATGGGCAAGAGCCCAGGCTGAGCGGTCTCCATGGACTTCATGGCTTCATCTTCCAACACAGCATTATCCAGGGCACAAACCAGGATGGCTTTATCCAGCGGGCGATTGATGCCTCTAATGCCTACGCCAGCATCATTGAAGCTGTGAAAAAAGCCGAGCGAGCAGCCCACGATGCTGATGAGGCAGCCGGCGAGGCTTTGATGGTACGTGCCGTGGGGAAGCCCGTGAAGATGAGCAAAAGCCAAACTCCCTCGACAGTCCTCCAGCTTTTCACACCCACACATAGGGCTCTGCTGCCCCTTCCCTCTGAGACTTGAGCACTTTGTTCTGTGCCAGAGAGCAGAGCCTCTGCCACAGCTGGGGCCAGACTCTGGGGGTTTGGGTCTCCCCATCACGCCCCAGCAGCACACCCCACTGCAGTTGTCTGAATGAGCATTTTTGTGTGCAGTCAGGGCCGGAGACTGGAATTCCTCTGCAGACTCACAGGCAGTGCATGTTTGTTTTACAGAGTGTCATATCAGAAAATCTCGGGGCCATCTCTAAAGAGCTGAAGAGGAACAGCAGCAACCTGGAGGAGGCTGTGAGGAGAGAGCAGAGAAAACTGAACGAGGGTGAGAGAGGCTCCTTGCAGGGTGTGATGTCCTTCGAGCTGGACTGAGATCCAACACACAACATATGCATTTCTTTAATTGCAGCTATTAAAGGCACTCTGCAGATAGCAAAGGACAAGCTGGCTGACCTCCGTGTGAAGAAGGAGCAGCTCCTGAGCCAGCTCCAGTCTGCGCAGGACATGCTGGGCAGGGACCAAGGTTTGTCCTGGGGGTAGCTAGACTTGTTCTCTCTGCTCCCTTCCTCACACCCACGCTGTGACCCAAGGGTGCTTCCTCCCCACTCCTGGCCATCCCAGAGATTTTTCTCCTTTCTTTCCAGAGGACACGAAAGAGATGATCCAGAATGCCAAAGCAGCAGCTGCTGAGGCCAATGAAACAGCTGCGAGAGTGGAAGATACCCTGAGCAACATGAAGAAGAATCTGGATGAGTGGAAAGACCAGTATGGAGACCTTCGAAATGAAGACCTGAACCAGGCAGTCCAGGATGCCAGGAAATCTGGTGAGTGCTGAGCCTGCTGGGCTGCCAGGACTGAGTCTGGCATGAGCCAGTGCATGGACAGATGTCCCCAGAGAGCTCTGTGCTTTTGGCTGCTTCGCAGCTCCAGGTCAAGAGTAGAGGGAGGCAGCAGCCGATACTGGGTGCTTTAAGTAAGTCCTGTCCCTTTATTTTTTTCTCTCCCTGCAGTGTCTATAACACCTATACCTTTACTGCAGGAGATTGCATGCGCTAGAGCATTTTCACAAGCCCCCATCAAGGCTGCTGGATTTAGGGGATCATTCTGTGACTGCTCCCAGCTGCAGCTGCTTTGACTTGCATGTCTCAGAACTGCCTGAGCTTTACATCTCCTTCCCTCACTAACCTTCAAAACCCCTGGCTCCTCTCCAACCCCAGTGTCCAGCCTGGAAAGCACCATCCCACTGCTGCTGGGGAAGCTGAGCAGCCTGGAGAACAGGAGGAACAAGAACGCCACCGTGTCGGAGAACATTGTGCGGATCCGGCAGCTCATCACGCAGGCGAGGAACGCTGCCAGCAAGGTAGGCTCATAGGAGGGTGAGGACTGTGCATGGGGTGCCAGGGGCTTGGGGTGAATGAGGGCTTACCTGAGGGTAGTATGCAAATGGGAGGGGTATCTAGAAAAGCTCTGGGGCCACCAGGCAGGGTCCCTTTCTCATGGGAAGACTCCAGAAAATGCTTTGACTTGGTAGATCTGGCAATGACAAGAGAGGCAGCAGCAGTGGTTTCAGTGCTGTGGGTGTGAATTTCTCTCCCTCCAGGTGAAAGTCCCCATGAAGTTCAACGGCAGCTCGGGTGTGCAGGTCCGGATGCCCAGCAACCTGCAGGATTTGGCAGCCTATACATCCCTCAAATTCTACATTCAAAACCCTGAGCCCAGGAGCCGGCAGCGACGGCAGGACGGGACAGAGGAGGGGCGGGTCGTGTTGTACCTGGGCAGCCGGGAGGTGAGACAGGGCTGTGCGGGCAGGAGGAGGGCAGCGGGAGCCTGTGTTTGTAGCATCAGTGGGGGATCATGCCTGGATGTCAGCCCCTCTCCCTTCGCCTGCTCCCTGAGTGTCTTTGTGGGGAACACGACCAGGTCCTGGGTGCAGCTGTCAGCCTGGCTAGAGGTGGATGGGGAGAGAGGTGCGAATGGGGGTGCTTGGCCAGTGCAGCCCTGGGAGCATCAGGGAGAGCATCGCTTGGTGCTCCTGCCTGTCCTGAATGCCAACGTGTGGCCCTGTCTCTCCCTGCATTTAGGCCGCTGGAGACTACCTGGGCATCGTGCTCAAGGACCACAAAGTGCAGTGGGTCTACAAACTGGGCGATGAGGAGCCAGCCTCCCTAACGGTTGATGAGGATATTGGAGAGCAGTTTGCCACCATCAGTATCAACAGGTAGGAGACTGATGGGACACACCCCAAGGAAGTTCAGTGGGACACTGTCCCTGCAGTGGATGCGGGTAGTGCTATGCCCAAGCCCAGACAGGCCCTGAGCTTGCAGAGGTGCTGTGGACTCAGTCATCCAGTCATCCCTAAGTGATCAACACTGAGATACCTCAAAAAAACTATCAGGGAGATGGTGTCTTACCAGGTCATGGAGGGTCTGGGGGTTCCTGCAGGAGAGGAAAGATGAAGCTCATCATGGAGGGTCCATTCAGCCTTGTGGCAGTGCTGATAACATGAGTGCTGACTCCTTTCAATGCGCTGCTGCTATGGGGGTCCCCAGTGGGAGATGCTCCCTTTTGGTAGGGTTGTGTGGGGAGGCCCTTTGCTCAGGGAGGGCAGGGTTTGCTCCTCTTTGGGGGTCTCCCCTTGTCTTGACCATCCCTCCCTGCTGCAGGATCCTGCAGTATGGGCACATGTCAGTGATCGTGGAGAGGCAGACGGTGCACGAGACCAAGGGAGACAGTGTGGCCAAGGGGGAGCAGGGTCTGCTCAACCTTGACCCGCGCAACGTGGTCTTCTACGTGGGTGGCTACCCTTCCAGCTTCACGGTGAGACAGGCAGCAGGGGAGGGAGGCTCCATTTTCTAGGAGGTATCAGCGATACCTCTGGAGCTTCTTGGGGGGCAAAACCCTTGATTTCATGGGAAAACCAGGATCAAACTTGCCCTAACTGTCCGGTTTCATTCCCAGCCTCCTCCCACTTTGCGTTATCCCAACTACCGCGGGTGCCTGGAGCTGGACACACTGAATGAGGAGGTGGTGAGCTTGTACAACTTCCAACGCACCTTCCAGGTGGATACCACCGCTGAGAAGCCCTGCGCAAGGTAGGGCACTGTGCCCAGACTGGGGGCAGCTCTGGTCTGTGGTGCTTACCCTGACCCTTGGCTGCCCCAGAGCATGGCAGCTGGCTTTGGAGTGATACCTTGGGCCTCTTCTTGCATGGCTCAGGTCCAAGTCCACAGGAGACCCCTGGTTGACTGACGGCTCCTACTTTGATGGCACCGGTTATGCGGAGATCAAGTTTGAAAGCCAGTTTGGCACCACCAAGCGCTTCGAGCAGGAGATCCGGGTGGTCTCCTACAACGGCATCCTCTTCTTCCTGGAGAATCAGGCAGGTGCTTGCTCCCCTGGGGAGTCTTCACCCCTCAACCAGTGGGCTAGGACAATCCCAGCCCCACTTGCAGGCATTCCCAGTTCAGGGCCCCAGGGAGGAGAGGGCAATGCTACTTGGAGCAGCATTTCTGCACTATTGTTAAAAGCCACAAGAGGGCTGGACCCAGACCTCACAGCAGAGGCAATTGCTTGCCTGGTGCTGGAAGGACTCCCCTGAACTCCAGGAGCACCCATGCGCAGACCCTCTGAGCTGGGCCAGGGTTCGCTGGGGCAGGCAGTGCTGCAAGGAGCATTTCCAGCCTGCAGTGCCGTCCCTGTGCCCCAGCACAGGGCTGCTGTTTGCAGATAAATCCCCAATAATTGTTGCAGTGATGCGTCAAGGCACCAGCAGTGGGACCACTGGTGCTAAAGGGCAGGTCAGGCTCAGCACCACAGGCACCGGGATGTGGGGCTGAGTGTCTGTCCTGCCTCCCCCAGGGTCAGTTCCTGTGTCTGGCCATCCGGGATGGGAAGCTGGTGCTTTACTATGACTTCAGCACTGGCCTGGAGATAGCAAAACCCAGCAGCAACTCCTCCTCCCTCACCATCAGCAGCACCACAAACAAAGCGGTAAGGGGGAACAGCCGCCTGCCCGGCTTGCTTGGAGGGCTCCTCATCCAGAGGGTAGAGGGGGCACCCGGATCCTTGTTTTTGGCAGGGGAGAGCTGTAAGAAGTTCTTTGACTAGAGCCATGAACCAGACACCTCGTGCTGCCCTCTGTGATGGACCTAATTGCCCCAGGCTGGCAGATCATTTTTCTCCTCTGTCTCCAGATCCAGATTTTCCTTCTCAAAATGAATAACAAGAAGCGCATCCTGGTGCGGCTGGAGCGCCTCACCATCTTCATGGTGGAGCAGGAGAACTCCCTGGAGAATGCTGTTTCCTACTACCTGGGTGGTGTGCCCCCTGCTGTGCTGCCCCCCAGGTGGGTCCAGGCCGTGGTGGGGTGGGACAGTCTACATCTTCCCCTCCAGTGTCCCTGGTGGTGGCCCTGGCCCTTTCTCAGCCACATCCAGGGCTGTTGGGGCCCTGCTGAAGCTCTGGGGGGAGATTTCCTCTTGCTGCCCATCACCATGAGCTTTTGAGGATGGGACGTGAGGGATGAGGTGCTGGTGGGTGTCACTGAGACCTCCTCTGCCGTTCTGGGTGCTTTGGAGCAACCTTGTGCCTGAGGCACTGGAGATACCCGTGGCCATCATGGGTCCTTCCCAGGCACTCTGTTTGAAGGGCTGCGGGGCCAGATCCTGCCCAGGACTGGATCCTGCCTGGGGTTGTCCTCATAACACTGCTTGCTTCTCCTGCAGCTTGAAAGCGCTCTTCCCCACGGGTGGGCCCATCCGGGGCTGCATGAAGGGCTTGAAGGCTCTTGGCAAATACGTTGACCTGAAGCGCATGAGCACTGTCGGCGTGAGCTACGGGTGCACCTCGGACCTCCTGGTAAGCACAAAGCCCTGGCAGCCTGGCCGGCATGCTGGGGCAAGGGTCTGTCAGGGAAGGGGAGCACAGGACCCCCAGGACAGGCCCAATCTCCCCTTGTTCACACAGAAACAAGCATAAAATCCCCAGGTCCTCGGTGCAGGGGGGTTGTGGCAAGGTGCTCCACATGGCATCCATAGCACTGGCTGGATCCAGCGAGGACCTGAGCGCCTCCTAGCACACCTGCAGCGCCAGGGCCAGGCTCTCACCTCGCCTCCATGGTGTCCCTTGCAGGTGGCTCGGTCAGTCAGCATCCACGGCCACGGCTACCTGACCCTGGCCCTGAAGGACGTGCCAGGGCTGCGGGACTTCTACAGCGGCTTCAGCTTCCGGACGAGCCAGCGCGAGGGGCTGCTCTACCACCACACCACCCAGGTGGGTATCTGCTCCTGCTCTGGGGATGGTGCTGCTCCTCCTTGGGAAAGGGGGGGATTTTGGTGGGGCCAGGGCGTGAATCCACAGTGAAATCTACACCCTGAGCTCCTGGAGGGTGGTGGGGAATTGGCTGTTCCTTGGGGTTCAGCTGCTGAGCAGCAATGGGGCGATGCTTTCTGCAGGAGGGGACGTGCCAGGTGTCCCTCCAGAGGGGCCAACTGACCTTGAACCTGCTGGAAACAGAAGTCACCACTGAAAATGCCTATGCAGATGACAGGACCCACTACATGGCCTTCTACAGCGATGCTCGTGGGTACGTGTCCTGGCAGTGCATGGGGAATGACGTGCTGATGGCCACAGGGACCCACTCAGCCTACGCTGCTCATCCCCCGCAGGGTCCGGCTGTACATGGACGATGAGCTGCAAGACACCGCAGCAGGCACTGGGTCCAGCCAGCGCAGCGACGGGCAGGGTAGGCGGGCGCCCCTTCCCCCTTGGGGGGCCACCCAGGCCGGCAGCAGCCTCACTGGCTGCATCGGGAATGTCTTTGTCAAGCGGTGAGCGTTGCCATGCCATTTCCCAGAGAGCAGGGCTCTCAGCCCCTTCCTGCCTCCTGGCTGGCCTGGTGATGGGGATCCCTTCTCCCTGTGCGTAGGACGTCAGAGCCACAGATGGTGGTGGACCTGCAGGAGAATGTGGAGAGCATCAATGTCACCATGAGCTGTCCTTGGGGTGAGCAGCCACAGCAGCTCAGAGTCACTCCAAAGAAGGACAGGCGGAAACCCAAGGTACCAGCTGCTGCCAAAACTCCCCACATCCTCCTCCCCATCCTTCTTAGATGCCACTGTTGCCCCCTCGCTGAGCAGCTCTGCCCTGTGACACCTGCAGGGATGCTCCCCTCACTCCATTCTTCGGTGCATCTTCTGTAGGTGCTGGGCAAGCCTGCCTCAAAGGACCGCCGCCATGGTCGGGATGGGCTCTGCCGGCTGCACCCGCTGCCCCATGCAGCCAGGGGCACCTTCCGCTTCGGGGGTGCCCCAAGCAGTCGCTGGGAGTTTGAGGAGATTCCAGCCTCCTTTGGCCAGAGGTGAGGCTCACCCCATGTCCACCCCACACAAGCTCGGCCCTGGGGACCATTGCTTGGAGAGCAGGTGTCCCTTGCAGTTGTGGGAGAGCAGGGTGCTCCCGTCACTCCCCTGTCCCTGCAGGTCCCATTTCTCCCTGGAGGTGAAGCTGAACTCCTCCAGCGGGCTGCTCTTCTATGTGGCGGGCAAGCGGGGCACCTTCATGGCTCTCTTTGTCTCCAACGGGCGCTTTGTCTTCCTGGTGGATGTCGGCAGGCGCCGCCTGCGCCTCCGCAGCAAAGACAAGTACCATGACCGGCGGTGGCACACGGTGAGCAGAGGTTCAGGGCTCAGCAGGACCTCCTTGAGCCACGTTGTTTCCGTGAGCCCCCCATCACCAGGTGCCCGTGCAGGGGTTAGCTTGGTGCAGCCCCGCTCTGGGCATTGCTTCCTAATTGCACATGGGATACCCGCAGTCCCACGGGAGCAAAGGGGACAGCAAAAACAGAGCCAGGGCTGGCTGAACCTCTGAGCTGAGGTCTCCCTTCCCTGGGTGCAGCCCTGGGGCTCCTCCCAATCCAGAAAACCCCCAGCCCTGGCACTGACCTTTGGTTCTTGCAGGTCTTCTTCAGCAGAGACCAGAGCCGAGCCCAGCTGGTCATTGATGGGCTGCGAGCCCAGGATGCTGCAGTGGCCACTGCAGGGCTCTTTGTGGCCCAAGCCCCCTTGTATGTGGGGGGGATCTCGGCTGGAAAAGCTAAGGCTCACATACCGGTAAGGGCTTGGTGGTCCCATGGCATCACCCTATCGGCCAGTTCCCGTGCCTGCCCTTTTTTGGCTCCTCCACGCTCACTCTGGTGGCTAATCTCAACAGGTTGCATCAGCCTCCAGCTTCGACGGCTGCCTGAGGAACCCACTGCTGGATGGGAGGCCCCTGGGTCCCCCCTCACGCACCTTTGGGGTGACACCGTGCTACGAGGGCGCACTGGAGAGCGGGGTCTTCTTCGCTGCGGATGGCGGGTCCGTCGTCCTAGGTACCCCACAGCAGCCTGGGCTGGCTCCCACAGCCCTGGGACTGGGAGGGATGCGTCTCATGGGAGGTCCCTTGTCCCCTTCCTCACCAGTAGTATTTCTCTTCCAGCTGATGCAGTGGCAACCGAGCAGGACTTGGAGGTGACACTGGAGGTCCGTCCCCGCAGTGCCTCTGGTCTCATCTTCCACGTCGCCACGAGGAGAAGCCACCATCTCCTGTTGTACATGGAAGAGACGAAGGTAGTGGGAGGGTGGCTTCCCCACAGGTTCTCAGTGGCAGCAGCCGCCATCTCCTGCCCATCCCACTCAGCTCACTGGGCTCTAATGGGTTTGTCTCACACACCAGGTCACTGTGAAAGTGAACGCTGGGGCTGACGAGTTCTCTGCATCGGTGACATGCCCATCTCTCTGCGACGGGCAGTGGCACACCATTGCAGGTGAGGTGACAGCCAGCACTTGGCTCTGGGACGCTGCTCTACTCCTGCGCAGCCCACATCTCCTGGGGGGAGTCTGAGGCCCTTCCTTGGGTATTTAAACCCCAGCTCCCACCTGTATGCACTTAATTTGGGAGATTGTAGCAACTATTAAGTAATTTCCTAATTAAGAGTCCTTGCCTGATCTTGTTAGTGCTGTCAGATCTGGTGGGCAGGAGAGACAGGGTGTTTCCCCAGGTCACGGAGCAGCTGGTGAGGCCAGGGGTGTTCCACGGTCCTGCTGGGCCAGTCGTGGCCTTGGCTCCAGCCAGGGCTGTCCTGCTGACAGCGAAAGCCCACCTGCATCCAAAGGGCTCAAAGCCCACACCTGGGACCAGGGATTTGCAGGATTCACACTTGTATGGGCAAAACTCGGCCTTTAATGTATTTGCCATTGAGCAAGAGCTAAGGTTTTGCATCAAGCCCTTTCTAGGACTGGGGGTCACAGCTACAGCCCCCCGTCTCAGCACAGCTCTATTTTAAGCCCTCATCTTGCCTGACCCAGCACCGAGTAAGAGCCATCATGTGCTCCTGGCGCATTTTCAGCTTCAGGACCTCTCCCCATCCGTGGCTGGAGCCAGCCTGAGCCGATCCCCTTACGCCCGGCATGTGCTGTCCCACGCCGCTGGGAGAGGGCAGCCCTCTTCACTAGATCAAGACACAATGGCTGCTGTGGCCAAAGGACAGAGTTTGGGGGAGGCTCTCCAAACTCTGGGCGTTTCCCAAGAGCCAGGCCAGGTCCTCTGACCCTCCTAGTAGTTTTGCTCTGCTCCAGCACTCGTCTGTGCCAGAGGGCGGAGGTGGACTTGCTCTCCGGGTGAGGAAGCAGCACTGACTCTTGTTTTCTTTCAAAGTTACCAAACGGAAAAACATAATCCAGGTTGATGTGGACACGGAAGGCAACTACACAGTGGGACCCAGCCAGCCTCCTGCACCCAGCGCAAGGGCGACCTTCTACATGGGAGGGCTGCCAGGTGAGTTGGGAGAGACGCGCTCCAGAACAAAATACGCCAAAGCCAAGAGAGATACTATTCCAGGTGCAAGACAGAGGTACGCAATCCCCTGCCCTCTTATTAGCCAGACTAACGCTTGCTTTTACTTGTTCCTTCTGCAGAGACCGACAAGGCCAGCACAGTGTCACCGTTACCTCCCCTCTCTCATTACATGGGCTGTGTAAGGAACCTCGTGATTAACCGGAGCCACGTGGACCTGCCGCGAGCCGGGACTGTCAGGGGCTCCGTTGGCCTTAAGGGTTGCCCCGTGCTGTAAGTAAGTGCACCTCTGTGTACAGCCTGACCACAGAAAGCTGCACTGCTCCCTCGGCCCCAGACGTCACCTGTTCGATAGCATTAACCGTGGTCAAACATACTTGATCTCCAGCGACTGCAGGCGCAAGTCTGGGGCCAAAACCAGAGAGGGGCCACAAATCCAAGGGGAAGGAGGGCAGGGGAGGAAGGTGGGGAGAAGGGGGCACTTCGGGGACATCTTTCACAAATATAACCAACAAGTTGGAGGATGTGGAGGCAGGTCTGGCTCCTTCCCCGGTGGTCAGGCATCTGCAACAGGACTCAGGCTGCCACATGGCGCGTGGTAAGAGCAACTGTCCTCTACAGAGCATGGGCTGAAGCACACAGCAGCCGTGCATCATGTCCTAAATCCTGTTCCCTCTACCCCACACTTACAACGCACACAGATTTAGTTCACGGAACACTTGAGGATATTAATAAGTCACAGACTGTCTTCTGCTGAAGGCTGTAGGCAGTTTCTGTTTTATAATAAATGCAATTAGGACAAACTGGATTAATTCCATCACTTTTGTGTTTTTATAAGCAAGGACGCATTTAACCTCCCCCCAAGGGCAGTCTCAGTTCACCTGCTGTTGTTACACAAAGAGCTCTGCAAGGGGGAACTTGGACAAAATTCTGTTCACAGAATTAGCATCTTCTTATCAGATTAATTTATAAGAATCAAAAAAAAGGAACAGAATAGGCTGGGAGAACTGCTGAGGGAAAGCAGAAAGACACAAATACCACTCTGACTCTGCAGTTGCGTTCAGCGCTGGTAGATACACTGACAAAAGTCCTGTTGCACGAAGCAAGAAACTGTTGCTTGAAAGGGAAGAAATAAAGAAAGGTTACCTCCGAGTCTGGCTGGGTGTGAGAGGTGCCACTTGGTCCTCACTCACCCTGCCAGCAGCTGCCCTTCCCCTGCTCGGCCTCACTCATGCCTGTTGTAGTGCAGTCTTCACTTGAAAAAAACTTTTTCTCCCAAGACACCTAGTTCACTTGTGCACTTGCACGTCATATATATATTTGTGTGTGTGTGTGTATATATCTAGCCACTTGGGGACAAAAATCTTGCTTCTGAAATGGACTTATAACTTATATCATTATATTGTGCTTTTTTTTATGAGGGGTAAATATTGTAAAATGGGTTTTTAACATGTCCATCTTAAACAAGTGTAATTATGACCTGTTTTTAAGTTGTAGTATTAAAGATGGTCTTTGTAAATCACTGGTACATACTTTGGAGTCGAATAAAGTTTTATGTTACTCTCTTTCACTTTACCGGCAAAGAGCAAGTCTAAGGCTGATGTAGAACTGGAAGAGGCATAATCACCACCTCAGGAAGTAGCACAACAGGGACGTTATAGTTGTATTTGCCATAAGCAGCCCCCTCCTAGTACGGCAGCTGCGGCGGTAGTGCGCTGTTCAAAGGCGACGTCCTGCACCCAGGGCAGGACGACCCTTGCAGCAGTACATGTGGGACGACGACTGGGTGAGCTGGCAGCCCTGCAGATCACAACCTGGTGGGCCCCAAACTGGATGGCAGCCAGCAACGCGTCCTTGAGATGCTCCTTACTCACACAATCACAGGGCTCAACCCTTTTAGCACAAGGAAATTGGAAGAATTAGTCCAGCCTCGTGTCAAAAGCATCAAAACTGAACAGTAAGGAACTCCACTGAAAATAAAGAGCAAGTACTGCTTTAAGTGTGCATGTTAAACAGACTGAGAAAGAACAGTATAGCAGATAAAGAAAATTCCTTTATTTGTAGATTTATATAAGCGTAATATGAAGTTAGTAATCCTACTGCAGTTGCTTAAGTTAGTATCTAGGAATATCTGTAAGGAAGAGCAAATAACTTAATCTAAACTCATATCTTCCTCTTCATCTTTCTTGTCCTTAGAGTCTCCTTCCTTTTGGTCTGACTTGACACTGTTCTGCATTGCTTTGGCAAATGCTTCTACATCTAGAAGTTAAACACATTAGTTATTTAACTTTGCACTTTCTGGGATGGAGTTCATTGTCCACGTGAGGTTAAGCTTCATTACTTGGAAAGTAAACAGTTGCTTTAATAAGAATCTATTGGCAGGGAAGAAAATTTTAACACATTCAATATATAACACACATCTGGATCTCTGACATAGCCACATTTCCTGCACTTTTAACTGTGCACAGGCAGCTTAAGACCAGCATTACTTCAGTCATGGTGTGGGTTCTCAAAGCTCATCAGGTAAAACAGATACCCCTCCCCACAGTGCTACAGGCCCCTACTGTGTTCACTTACTTCAGATGAAAA